GCTTGTCCCCTCTGCCCAAGGTGTACGTTGATCTTTGTTATACCGGCACACAGGTTTAACCCATTTCCAGCCCCATTCTCAGAGATAAGTCTGGACAAGATGGTAACTTGAATGCCCTTTTCCTTCTCCACTGCCAAGAACTGTGTTTAGAAGACAACCTAAGCAAACAGGGTATCTGTCCCTCACAGATTATAAATTCACAGTGGAGAGGTGATGTGGTCAAAGGGCGTGGTTCTTTAGGTTTACTTCTTCCATATGCCATAGTTCAAATGAGGAATGTCAGCGTATAAATCATTCAAAACCCTGGTTTTGAATGATTTATGATTTATGGCTTGCTACTAGAGAAAATTGTTACTTTAATGAGCAAATATAAATCCTTCTAAGGCCTTAAAACACTCTTTGCTTTCAGTGGAGTACATCTGTGGATGTGTGTTATAGTGTACAATTCCACTGGAAAAAAATACATTGTGTTTAAATGGCTTCATCTCCACTACAGTCCTACACAGGTAAGTAGCACTATATTCAGCAAAGCTTAGTTAGAAGTAAGCATGTCAAAGATTTGAGCTTCAGGTGCAAGTATATTACATATCTGGGTGTTAGTCTTGTCTCTCAGGAACACATAGTGAGCTGTAGTGCTGCATAGTAATGGGTCCCTTTCATAAGCATCTCCTATAAAACAACTTGAGAGATTGTAGTCCGCCTTCCTTCTTGAATCATCTAATATGTTCATAAAAAGTGATTACGAAATGGTCACATATAAAATTGAGAGTTGTTGTTGTTGTTCATTCGTTCAGTTCTCCGACTCTTCGTGACCTCATGGACCAGCCCACGCCAGAGCTCCCTGTCGGCCGTCACCAACCCCAGCTCCTTCAAGGTCAGTCCAGTCACTTCAAGGATGCCATCCATCCATCTTGCCCTTGGTCGGCCCCTCTTCCTTTTGCCTTCCACTTTCCCCAGCATAATTGTCTTCTCTAGGCTTTGCTGTCTCCTCATGATGTGGCCAAAGTACTTCAACTTTGTCTCTAGTATCCTTCCCTCCAGTGAGCCGTCGGGCTTTATTTCCTGGAGGATGGACTGGTTGGATCTTCTCGCGTCCAAGGCACTCTCAGAACTTTCCTCCAACACCACAGTTCAAAAGCATCTATCTTCCTTCGCTCAGCCTTCCCTATGGTCCAGCTCTCACATCTGTAGGTTACTACAGGGAATACCATGGCTTTGACTAGGCGGATCTTTGTTGCCAGTCTGATGTCTCTACTCTTTACTATTTTATCGAGACTGGACATTGCTCTCCTCCCAAGAAGTAAGCGTCTTCTGATTTCCTGGCCACAGTCTGCGTCTGCAGTAATCTTTGCGCCTAGAAATACAAAGTCTGTCACGGCTTCCACATTTTCTCCCTCTATTTCCCAGTTGTCAATCATTCTTGTTGCCATAATCTTGGTTTTTTTGATGTTTAGCTGCAACCCGGCTTTTGCGCTTTCTTCTTTCACCTTGATTAGAAGGCTCCTCAGCTCCTCCTCGCTTTCGGCCATCAGAGTGGTGTCATCTGCATATCTGAGGTTGTTAATGTTTCTTCCAGCAATTTTCACCCCAGCTTTGCATTCATCAAGCCCCGCACATCGCATGATGTGTTCTGCATACAAGTTAAAAAGGTTGGGTGAGAGTATGCAGCCTTGCTGTATGCCTTTCCCAATCTTGAACCAGTCTGTTGTTCCGTGGTCAGTTCTTACTGTTGCTACTTGGTCCTTGTACAGATTCCTCAGGAGAGAGACAAGGTGGCTTGGTATGCCCATCCCACCAAGAACTTGCCACAATTTATTATGATCCACACAGTCAAAGGCTTTAGAATAGTCAATGAAGCAGAAGTAGATGTTTTTCTGAAACTCCCTGCCTTTCTCCATTATCCAGCATATATTGGCAATCTGGTCTCTCGTTCCTCTGCCTTTTCTAAACCCAGCTTGAACATCTGGCAACTCTCTCTCCATGTATTGCTGGAGTCTTCCTTGCAGGATCTTGAGCATTACCTTACTGGCATGAGAAATAAGGGCCACTGTACGGAAGTTTGAGTGGTCTTTCGCATTTCCCTTTTTTGGTATGGGGATATAAGCTGATTTTTTCCAGTCTGAAAAATTGAGAGTTATCCACCCTATATTCTCATGTTATCATTTTAGTAAAAGAAAATCAGTCCCAAAACCTGGTTCAAATTATCCATGGTCAATATAAGTACTGTACTAAACTCTAATATAAAAAAGGACCCATTCCCATCTCTGAAGAGAGCTTAGTCCTTCCTGTGAGAGCATTTAAAAAAGCAGCGATGTGTTCTAATCTTTCTGCAATGGTGCTGTTTCTGGCCTTTTTGAATGCCTAGATGGGGAAATGGCAGTTGCAGCCAAAAGTGGCTGGTCCCCTAAGTCAGCATTGGTGTTTTCCCCTTTCCATCAAATGATCCTCAACCTATCCATGGCCCCAAAACCTGTCCTTGACTTATACATGCATGAGTATATACAATATATTTCTTCTTTATTTGAACAGGGCTCCTACTCTCTCTATGATGACTGTTACTGTTTCTTATTGTGTGAGTGTGTGTTGTGTGTCAATATGAAAAGGCAACAAGGGCCAAACTTCAACCAAGTGCTGCTTGTGGTACAAATTCATTCAATAAACAGGAAGGTCACTTTCTACTCCCCAATCCTCCAAAAACCTTCCATGGAAGTGTTAGGAAGTCTATTTTTTTCTCAGCCAGCATCACAGTGTTTTATACTCATCATTAATGTCAACCAACCATCTTACTCATTATGTATACCTATGCACAAAAATATTCTGAGATATTATATATAAGTTATAGGTGTATTTTCTGAACCAATTCAGTTATATTAATAAGATTCATGCTTGAGTTTAACTCCTCTAAATTGATGATGGAGGGGGAAAGAATCTCAGTGAACTAAAACAACAAGACGTTCTGTGGCACACTAAATATTTAGAAATGTATTTTCTCACTTGCTTAAATTGTGGCTGATGTATATTAGGTTTAAGAGTGCATAGCAGCCATTAAATAACTATGTTAGTGTAAACACTCTCACACTGTCCACCAGGTACATGCAATAGACTTGGTTTGGTAGTAAACTACTGTTTATATAAGCCAAAGGAATGTATAATAACTGCATACACAAGCTGAGGAAAGAGGAAGAATGTCTTCCAGAAGCCAGGCCATCAAGGCATCGTGCCCACAGAAGTACACTAGGTCAAAAGAGGGCAGTTAAGTAATGTTTAGGCCATGTGGATAACCATGAAGCAATGGGCCTGTAACTATCAATCCTAACATACCACTAATTTCATTTCTTTCTGTTTGTCTAGAGACACAGACATCCCAGACTTGGTGTATCATGGGATTATAATCTGCACTGCCGGGTGTTTGCTCAACCAATCTGCAACCAGTTATTTTGAGCAGTTCCTGTACAGAACAGTGTGTGAAGAAAACTAAAAGGTCCTTTTAAAACATCACAGTTCTGTGAAACTCGTATTATACTATAACCATGAAAGTTAACTCATGGGGAAAATAATCTGAATGCGTCTAATACAACACAGGAGAAGTAAATGAAGAATGACTAACCAATACTCTTTGGACTCAGGAACAAAAAAATCATTCATTTCACAGAATAAATGGGGCCAGATAAAAATGCATATGTTAACATAGTTTTACTTTCCACAACAGATTATGACAAAGGTGTTGGGATTATTTTTGTTTTGTTTTTATTTTTTCTGCCAGAAAAGGATAGTCTGTACAAATTATAGTTATGCTCTTCTAGCATTGCTGGACCAAAAACAGAATTTTGAATTTTAATAAGGCTATCTACAGCAAGAAGACAGATATGTTCATACCTAAAATCAAGTCCCTGTATTTGACTAATGCACTTTTCAAGCTATAATGACTCTGTTATAACTGCTCTATCCCTACGCTGCTATATGATCTATGCACCTTATTGACCAGCCTATTTAAACGTGTTTGCACACCAGCTCCCACCCCCACCCCCCATGGGACTTGAAGTATTTCTGGTTGTTCCTTATGATACCTGTCTTACTATTGATATAATGTTGTTTTATATTGTTTTTACATTTTATATGCTATGTTTTTAACTGTATGTGTTTGGGCTTAGTCCCCATGTAAACCACCCTGAGTCCCTTCGGGGAGATGGAGGTGGCGTATAAAAATAAAGTTGTTATTATTACTATTATTATTTGAGACACAACAAGATGAGTCCACAGCAAACAAGATCACTCTGCTGGCTGTTGTATTGGATCACACGTTGGACACTTCCCAAGTGTCTAGGACTATGTGATGTATTGTGCGTGCAGATCCCAATACTGCGTGCAGATCCCAATAATGTGGCCTTTTGCAGCTGGCAGATGGTAATTTTGTCAGCGCCGATTGTGTTTAAGTGCAGGCCAAGGTCTTTAGGCACTGCACCCAATGTGCTTATCACCACTGGGACCACCTTTACTGGCTTGTGCCAGAGTCTTTGCAGTTCGATTATTATTATTATTATTATTATTATTATTATTATTATTATTGTTATTGTTATTGTTATTGTTATTGTTATTATTCCTATGCTCCATCTGTAGCTGTAAACAAACAATTTTATGATTGTTGGGGGTGAGATATTATGGAAACAGTGAAGGGTAACTCATTCTTCTACCTGGATTCATGTTTCTGCCTTGGGTAACCATGTTAAATTGTCTAATGAAACCGAGATTACCTTGGTATAACAGAACTAAAGGTATGTATTTTGTGAAAGTAACCTTCATTACATATTCAAAGCTATTAAAATTATAAAACACTAAAGAAAACAATATATATAAAATGAAGACAGCACTCCCTGCTCTTACTTTGTATACAAATCAATCAGTGCATAAACATAAGCTAAAACAGCACCCCAAAACAATGTAAAATAATTATTTCTAGGACTATTGGGGTAAATACACAAGGGAAGGAAGCTAACCTTTACCTCACATCAGCAACAGTATGCCTTCTCCTTTTCTTGTCTTGCAAATTCATTTTTTTTTCACTGTGCCCCGTCTTGTCATCTAATTCCCATGATATCCTTCTTTCCTTTTTCCCATCAGTTTTGCAGTTCTCTAGGGACTTTGACCTTTCCATAGTCACAACATGCAGGCATGCAAAATTAAACGCAGATAACTCAAAATGAAAACAGGGAACTTACAGGTGCTATTTCTCCATTTATGTAAGGTTCCAAAACACTAAAAAAAAAACAACAGCAACAGCAAGCCAACTAACCATCTTTGACTTTAAAAATACATGCTAACTGAATGAGGACAATAATCATGGCTTATTACTTCTAAGGGGGGAAAAAAGCCCTGATGATTATTTTCTCTTTCAGGTTTCACAATGTGTTGTTTTGTTCAGATTTAGCAGTTAATTGAATGCAGAAATTTAGAATAAACCATTCAGACTATCCCATCTGAACAGGGACAATTTAGAAGCAGTTAAATTTTCTCAGAAGCAGATCTTCGATTAATTCAAAGCTATTGTCCTTTTTTCAAGAGCTAAGAAGCCGTTCTTATCAATACAAACTTTTGTGGCTTCAACACTGAAAGAATCTGCTAGATAGTGACATAAAAGAAATCAATTACCTGAAACCATTAACACTAAACATTTACACAATGATCATAATGAACATCTTATCTTTGAATGTGAAAACATATTTTTTTTATTTTGAAATGCTTTTATGTGATTCATACGTAGACCTTAGGAGAAAAGAATCAAAATTTTGATTACGTAACATATAAAATAGATAAGCTCTTCAAGTAGCTAAAAGTAATGAAAAGAAAATCCATCTGTTACATTTTTATCTTGAAAGGGACTATTCCTGATAATGCAGTTGAATCTGTCTAACACTATTAGTATGTTCTGAAATGTTTGCTAAATTTTTTCACATATGTGGTGCATTGTAGAATTAATGCAGTTTGGCCCCAATTTAACTATGGAAATCGAGAAATTGCAGTTTTATGATATCTTTACCCTTCTCTGCTGAAAAGTGCTGGTGCCTCACCAAACCTCAGGAATTCGATGGCATTGAGCCATGGTGGTTAAAATGGATTAGTTCTACAATGTAGCTGCACTTTTGGTCAGAAATGGGCAATTGTGTCCTTCCAGATGTTTTCCATAACTTATTATCACTAGTTAGGGCTGTAGGTCTATATGGCCATGTTTCTTATGAAGAGAGCAAGTTGAAGACTGAAGCCAAACAAGATACTTAAGTGGTTTAATTTTTCAAAAAAGTTCTGGTGTTGAGACACATTGCTCCAGCTCAGCCTCATGACCTCATTGTAGAAGGTGCATGTCCTACAGATTTTTGGTATCACAGAGTTAAGAAAAGAGGCTTTGGTGATCTACCTATGGGTGTATAGAAGGCATATGTGTCCAGAGGAGAGCAATTAAAATGATCAAGTCTTATGAGAAGTGGCTTAAAGAGCTGTTCATGTTCAGCCTGCAGAAGAGAAGGCTGAGAGGAGACATGATGGCCATGTATAAATATGTGAGGGGAAGTTATAGGGAGGAGGAAGCAAGCTTGTTTTCTGATGCCCTGGAGACTAGGACATGGAACAATGGCTTCAAATTACAGGAAAGGAGATTCCAACTGAACATTAGAAAGAATTTCCTAACTGTGAGAGCTGTTCAGCAGTGGAACTCTCTGCCCCGGAGTGTGGTGGAGGCTCCTTCTTTGGAGGCTTTTAAGCAGAGGATGGGTGGCCATCTGTCAGGGGTGCTTTGAATGCGATTTTCCTGCTTCTTGACAGGGGGTTGGACTGGATGACCCATGAGGTCTCTTCCAACTCTAAGATTCGATGATTTTATATCAGCTGTCAGCTTATTTGAACAGATTACCTAAACAGCGAGCCACTTCTTTTTCAAGTTCTATCCTCTTATAAGAGTTGCCCTACACTGAATACCAGACAATGTGCTGTTACAACGAGACTAAAAGTGAAAGAACACAGCAAGGTAGATTTACCTCCCTTTCTTAAATGCCATACTTGCATGGCTGCATTGGAAAAGTTAGTATGTAAACTAGTTACAGGCAATGGTTTCCTGAACTGTTGAAGGTAATATGGCAAATATACATAATTGCTTCTGAAAATCTCACGCCAACATACTCTCTGATACAACAATTCTGCAAAGTTTATAATATAGTGGAAAAACCTGCAAAATCTTTTGACAAAAGAAAAAAAATACACGGATATAGTAATGGAAGCTGGTATCTCTCCTACATTTATCTTCTTACACTGTTACCTAAGTTTGCATGTCATCCCTAATCACCTGACTGGACTTCTCTGGTATGATAGAAATTTATGAGAAAGAAAGTTGAGATTTCAATGCAGGCTAAAACCTTTTTATTCGGACAAGCTTTAAAGAAGAACATTTTCAAGAGCCAGTCAAGGAATGCCATGATTTTTAGCTTTGAATATTTTTAATGGATTTTAACTGTGAATTTTAACACTGTTTTATATTTGCATATTTGTATATTTTAAATTATGTGGTCATACTTTTAATGGTAAGCCACTTTGAGTCTCCTTCAGGAGAAATAAAGCGGAGTATAAATAAACATAAAAATAAACATAATAATAATAATACTGTTTCCATCCTTGATTCAGCAGCTATTACAGAAACTTTTAAGTCTCAGACTGGAGAAGAGGAAGAATGTATGAAACTGTGAGATTTTTGTCTTGCATGTGTGGATGAAATATCTATGTTCCAGTGGACATGTGAACATGCTTTGGTTTACATTATAGTTAAGTGAGTAGCAGCATGGAAGAAAGTATACTGGCTACAACATCATATTAAAAGTTTTTCTAGAATGCTCCAATATGTTTGGAAAGTATAACATGTGCCACTACTTAGAAAACTTTTGAATAGCTGATGAAACTATAAGGTAGAAGGGCACCGTCTCAAATTATGAGACCCGTACCTGCTATTGTTGTTAGCCTGTTATAGCACTGTACTTTATTCCCGGTCCCCTCATATTTTGAGTTTGCACTAGCCTTGGCCCGGCCTTTTTAATTGCTTTAACAGGCAGGATTATTTTTAATATATATGTATTATTGTGATAATTTTATGATTATGTTGTTTTGTTAATTTATGTCATGCTGTTTACTCTTTATGTTTTGATGATGTTACTTGGAAACTGGGAGACAGAGCGATATATAAATAAAGTTTATTATTATTATTATTATTATTATTTTGAATAAATATTGGCAGATGGCTTTCCATAACACCCCCCCTCCCCAAATCAAAAGTTAACCTGAATTGGTTCTGTTTCTAAATGAAATATATGTTTAGATATAAGTAGTAGAAGCTTAACAAAGTAAAATCATTCCCACTGTAGTAAAGACTCACTGCTGCTATACTCCTACAAATGTTTACTACATAGTATTCTGGAATACTAGGCTATGGAATATATTGTTTCTGTCCAGTCCTGACCTTGAAGACATTGTGATCACTTCTATTGTGGCATATGTTAAAAAGAATTTAAGAATAGCTTCACATGTTGTATTCTTTGGAAGCGTTTGACCCATGAACAGCTCCAGTGTAGAAGCACTGGCTCTGGATAACTATGATTGGGGATAACCTATGCAGAATGAATCTTAACCCTGCTTAGTATTTCTATTATGAAAACCAAATGCAATTGGCACAATCACTTAAAGGCTAATTTGGTGACATCTCAAGAAAGGACCTCCATGCAACATGTAAATCAGACTGGAGAAGAAGAAGAATTTATGAAACTGTGAGATTTTTGTCTTGCTTGTGTGGATGAACTATCTATACAGCTAACTATGTAATGGATGAACCTGCCTATAGACCCTATTTTGCCAATATTTAAACATACATTTTCAAGGGAAAATGAGAGATTTTAAGTCCATAAAGTTCGTGGCCTTTTCCAGACTGTGGTATCTAATCACACTCAACATTCTCTTCATGGTGCACAAACAAGTGGGGAGTTATAACTTCATAAAGGGTTGTTGTAGGTTCATAGCTGACAGTTCATAGTTAGCTCAATGAAACATTGTGTCTCTAGTGGATTATTTACTGCTTCTCATATTCAGTTTTGCTGGTGAGGTCTTTATATTTTATAGAGTTATTAGAGTCCAAAGTTTGTTGTGGCCTTGCTCTTATTTATTTGTTTGTTTCTTCATTTATTTTGGTTTTGGCAGCTAAAAATTACCATTTGCATATATAATATAACTTTCACTGGAGAAGAATGGGCAGTTTTAAGACAATGTGGCAAACTCACCTTATTCTGCCCCTAGGGCGCTCGGATTGCTCTGACATAAAGCTTGTGCTGCTGAGGCGGGAGGCACTACTGGTACGGGAAATAGCTGACACATCACTGACATCACTATCTGATGACTTGGCAGAGACGTTATCACAACTTCGATACTGATCTGCTTGAATATCATACTAAAGATTAAAAAAGAAAATGTGAGTTGCATTGTCCCAGTGTAGAAGACAAATCATTATGGCACAAATAACAATAACAATATAAAGAACACTTTAAAATTATTTTTTGTTGGAAATGCAAAAGTTTGTGTACAGTTTCTACTTTAGTGAGTTGTTCTAAAATACAAATGTACTCAGAAAGGAATTTCGAATGATTCTCTACTCAGAAAAAACTCTAATAAAGTTGTGATTTTTTAAAATTAAAATAAAATACTGACAAGCAGTATTATTTTAAGTAGAAGCACTGTAGTAACTAGTGCCATTCTCACCATCAGTGTTGACCTGCTGTTCTTTAAATCTGGATATTGAATGTTAAAATATGAACAGCATTTTAATCTTTATAAATGACATTAAATTATGTTGAAATCTTTTTATGTTTCTGCTCTAAAGATTTTCTAAACAGAAGCTTTACTCCAAAGATAGAAAACTTTGCTGAAAGGGTTCTAATGGCAACCAATGTTCTGCCAAGCCAGATTCAAAGGGGCCTTATTGGTACAAAACACCCTTTAAAAACATAGAAACAGGTGTCCCAAAAATCATTTTTACTTCTATGCATCCATGTTCTTCAAGGAGGTCTTGATATCTACATCACGATACAAATAATTGCACCCGGTGGCACAATGGCAACTGGACGTGCCATTGGTGCCCATCACCTGGAATAACTTCCCATTTTGATAAATATGGAACTGATGACTACATGCTTTTGACATTTTTTTCAAACATATTTGTAAACCATGGCTTTCCTCAAGCATCAACAAGCTGAGTTCTTCCAAGGCTTGTTTTACTGAGCCTTAGAATCAACAATGTTGCTGGGTGTTTATAATGTTTATAGTTTTTCATATAAATCTGACAAATTTGTATTAATTTCCTTAGAGTCAGGGAAAAATAACATTATTGGCTTCATCAGAGTAAAGAAAAAAATCAAGGAAATGTCACTATTTCAAAAAAGGGAAATAAAAGCTAGAGAGAGACAGAGAGAGAGAGACTAATTTTTAACAAACGAGCCAAAGCTATAGCTACAAGACTAGTAAGTTTAGAAACCTGCCACTATTACCATTTTTTTTCAGGTGAAATTGAGGGAATATGAAAAAATCAGGGAGACAGGGAAAGTTATGTTCAAATATATATACTTGTGTACAGGTTAGGCTGACATATAAGTCAAGGAAAGGTTTGGGGCCAAAATTATGAATTTTGATTAAACTTGTACATACATCAAGAATCATTCTGTGGAGAGGGGAAGTCACCAGTGCCATCTTAGGTAGTGCCCCTAACATTTCCCCATCCAGGCATTCAAAAAGGCCAGATGTGGCACCACAACATAGTGTAGGGGCTCAGCCTGTGATTGCCTCTTTGTCTAGGCTTCAAAGGAGAATGATGATGAGCCTGTAGAGGTTCCAATGTCTGAATTAAATGATAAGGTTTCTGCTGACTCAGGGGTTTGTGAATGGAGATGATGGTCAAGAGAATACAGTTAGCCAGAGTGAACCTGCGAATTTGGGATAGTTGGTTCACAAGGCAAAGATGCCTCAGTGCAGGCAGAGAAAGAGGCCGAGGTTGAACAGTCAAGGCCAAATAGTGATAGTGAAGATATGTACTAATTGGCAAACCAAGGTAGTCAACCTTTAACTGAAAAGGCCGGATTTATCAGGATCGCCACCTGGAATTAGGGAGGAGGCACTCTGCAAGACTGAGAGAAAAGAGGGGTTAGGGAGAGGTTTCCCAAGGGGAAATGGAATGCTTTTGCTATGGTTTTCTCAATAAATATAGGGCCTGTGAATCTGTAGTCTTCAGTGAGTCCAGCGTTTGGTTTTCATGTGCAACCATGTCTTTGCTTCATGCCTGATATCCATGCCTTCCTGTTCATGCTGAGATTCCTATATACTGCCTTGAATTCATGTTCATGCTGAGATTTTTTAAAGCTGTTTGTCTTGGTTTCAAGCTCCTGCATTTGGATTTATTGGTTCAAGTTTAATTTTTGTTTCTGCAAGGGACTTTGGTCTTTACAACCTTCTGGAACTGAAAGATTTTACTCCTGTGGACTTGTTTACTGGATTTTGGGACTTTTATGTTTCCTGACTGGGATTTTGACTGGATTATATTACATTGTTCAACTGATTATTTTGTAGACATTTCCTTATTACTTGTTCGAAAGCTTTTTACCTTTTTGGCTATTGCTATATTAATCTTCAATAAATTGCTTTGCTTATAAAGAACATTGGTGTGTTTTCGGGTTCAAAGGTGCCAACCCCAGCCTTGGTGTGCAACACATAGAGCGTAAGAGAGTCACTGCTTCTTTTACATTGTCCAGAAATGGATCAAGCTTTTGCCCTTCACTGCTCTATTCACTTTTTGATAAAAGTGGAATTTATATTACGTATATTGATCTGTGATAAGTTGACCCAGGTTTTTTGGATTGGTTTTTTAAAATTAAAATTTTCTAGACTTATCCATGAGTGAGTATACATAGTATTCCCAATCTCACATGGCAGCAAAGATAAGCTTAAGCACTTTCTTAGCGGAGATATTTGTGATTTCACATGTGACAGTTTCAGCAACTGCTTTAACTTCATAACTGTGGTTGAGCAAGAAAAAAAATATAATAAAGAAAAGAAATATTTTGCTTTTGTTTATCCAAACATCAATTGGAAAACGAAAGCTTGTATTTATAACATGCTATCACACACCATGTGCTATGATAATGTCTAAGTCATTATTAAAGCTGACATGTAACTTGTTTCACTATGTGGGAGCAGATAATTGGAAATGAACCATCATCCTTAGCTATCTAACGCTATATCTGGATTCACTGCAATGTACTATAGATTAAGAACTTTTTAGCTAGTTATCAGGATGGCAATATATTATTTCTTGTACCAGTATACGAGGCAGAATGGCTCTCTGTTGACGAAATAAGGCATTGCTGGGAAATGAAACATCTCAATTATTTCCTCCACACGGAGCAAAATGGAAAGAATTTTTGTTACATTTTTGAAGAAAATAGTCATAGCTACAACACCATTTTGTAAAAATTATATATCAATTTGTATGCAAAATAATGTTGCTCTTGTCTTGTTACATGGACTAAAATAAAAGAGAAGCAGAGAATGCTCCTTTTGGGATGCATCAATCTCCTGTCCTCCTGTGCTTACCGCACATTAGTGTTTTTCTTAGGAAAGTGGAACAAGATTGATTTAGCACAGAGAGCATTGTTGAGCAAATTCCAGAGGTCATTATTTGCATTCTTGTGCAGGAGGAGGGAAACACTGTGACAGTTGACAAGGTTGTTGAGATTCCTCTGACATTAAAAATGGAAAATAGGGGAAATATTCTCTACAACCTTACTCTGCATGTTACTTGTTGAGAATTACAAGTGAGAGGATAGTACTGTGTTCAAGCCCTGCTTGTGGTAAGATTTGAGGCCAAGAAAGTATGATTTGCCCAAGGTCCTCAGTGTGTTTCCATGACCAAGTTAGAGTTCAAATCCTGATCCAATACTCAAACCATTACACCGGTTTATTAATACAGATCTCAAAAAGGCTTCAAAATTCTTTAAAAGCAGGTGGGAATTTTCATTCGCTCCTTGGTCTGTGTTGTGCAACAATATAACACTGAAAAGAAAAGTTCAGATTGATAGTTTTCTTCATATAATTACACATATGATAAAGTTTAATTCTAAACCTTGTTATAGATTGAGTATATGTATAAATTCAGACAAAAGAGGACCTTTATGTACAATAGGAGATGTGTTTCGTTAAAGAGTCAATGTTTGCAGATACAAATAAAAAGATTCTGATCTTTCCTCTCTTTAACAAAGAAAAGGGGCCCACAACTCTTGCTCTAATGGTTGTTATTTTCTTAGGAACAAACGATGGGCATTGTGCCCTCCCTCCTCCCAGCTACCAAAGGTTAATTCATTTTGAAGATGATTTCAAAGGATGATGATGATGATGATGATTATTATTATTATTATTATGCCTCAGAATGCACACTAGGGGCCCAAGAATGCCCAAAACATATTTCCTAGAGAGTGTTTAGAAGTACTCCTGGGGAAGGCAATGTGCTTCTCAGAGGTAAGACAGTTTCTGTTTCAAGCTGCAGGTGAGTAACTTCAGAAAAGAGTGGTTCCTTATATAATTTTTTAAGGGATCAAAAGGAGTCTAGCTTCCTAATGATCGGTATTGCATCTAATTAAATGAACTGTAGTCCAAGAAAGCTTGTGCTACAAATTTCTGTTTCCCAGTATATTTCAAAGATACTAATGTCCTCTTGCTTTTTACCACTAGAAAGTCATTCACCACATCTGAGCATCATACTTCACAGTTCACTTACGGCCTTGTCACACAGCCCTTTCTGGTTGTGCTTTTTTGTCAACTTTTGCCAGCAAAAGAAAAGTTGTGCAGGGTGGCTCATGGCCCTCCCTCCTCCCTTCATCAGATAGTAACCTTTACATTCACACCCTTTCCTTCCCCACATCAGAGGGCAGAAAAAGTGCTTTGCCCCACCACACTTTCTGCCATCACACAGGAATTTGGGAAGAAAAGTGTGGAACCCTTTCCTCCTCATTACGGAGGACAAGGCACCTTTTGGTGATTTGGCTCCAATTTAGGGGGAAAGTGGGTGGGAATTGCCCGGCATCGTGTGATGGCACATGGCAGGCCCTGTTTAAGCTGTGAAATAAAGCATCAAAATGGGGCATTTTTGCTCCATGTGAAGAGGTCTTTTGTCCTTCAATTGAAGAAGTAAGAATAAACATGAGATCACCTAAAATATCTTTCACATTTATGGTACAATTTCCAAAGAAAGCTGCTAAAAATGCTCCCTATGGTTTATGCGTAGTTGCCACTGTAAAAGCAGAGTATGGTATCACATAGTATAATGACAGTAATCACACACTTTCTCAGTTAATTCTCGGGCTTCCCAGAACACTGAGTTTTGACTATTGAACTTGGAAGATTACTATTTCCAGAGTTTCTCATATATAATAACAATGGTTAAATCCTGGCCACGAGAGAAAATCAGTATCTGTAATTATTTCAAATGACAAAATTTTAGATAGCTTTGACCTACATCTTAAATATTCATGTGTAACCTTCATTTTTCTAAAATATTATTTTATTTTAATACTCTCTTTACCTTGGAATATTGCTCACGTTCCAGTTCTTGACTAGAACCAGACCCTGTTGTCTGATTATAACGGTGCATTTTCATTTTCATCTGTCTTGTTCTCTCCTCCACTACTAAATTAGCTGTAAAACACACAATGGAATACTATTAAAAAGATATGTAAATATTTTTAAAGTAACAAATTGTTTAGATGCAACTTTGAGCCTTAACAAGAAGCATTGAATTAACAAAACAAGGAGAATGCAAACACAAAAAAACATAGGTGTGTTAATAACGGATATCATATTGGGATTAGGTTGAAATACTTGTCTGATATATTTTGAAATTTTCTACATATCCATATTGAACCAAAAAATACACATGTCCCCTAAACTATGGAATATGTAGAGATCCCGAGTACCAAAGTTATAAATGTGTACCTCTAGGTTGAACATTCATAACTTCCAATAGGATTCTACCTATCTTAATATTCAAAATGACCCACTTAACTTTCCAAAGAATTTTGTTATCCTATCCAAATGATCATTATTTGACATTTGCAAGTATGGTAGATATGGGTTCCAACCCCCACCCCCCCCCCACCCAATGTTCACCACTGTTTATGTATTATATTTATTTTATTTTTATCCTCCCAACATAGGGGCTCAAGGTAACTACTTGTGCAACGCCATTAGTGTACATTGACTCTGCCTGAGCATCAGTAGTGAAACCATTTTTAAAAAATTAACAAGTTCCTGTCCCTAAGGAACTTAAAAATTACAGTTTAAAATAGGAAAAAAAAACATTGAAGAAAGGAGAAGGAAGTCGTAGGAATGTGAGGAAGTGCAGAGATTCTGGAAGAGGGTATTAGAACAAATAAATGTGCTATTCAAGGTAAATTTGTATATTGGGCCGGGACTGTTGGAAATTGGAACACTGGGCCTACAAATGCTGAAGAAAGAAGACCAACAAACTTTGATGGCAATGGTTAAAGCTGCCGATGCTGAAATAGCATTGGGATGGAAGGATAAGAAAAAATGGACAATGGATAGATGGAACGAATACACTTATGTACAAGTACAATAGGATATTATGGGAATAATACAACAAGATATACCATGGTCTATAAAAATACAAAGAATTAAAGAGAACTGGTTAAGATATGAGAAATGGTTTGAAGAAGGGAAAGCTAATGATCAGATAAAGGAAAAAATGGACAAAATCCTGGACTGGCTGCACTTAAAAATGCTTTGTTGTAAAGTTGCAAGGAGGGGGAGGGGAAAGGGGGGGGCAAAATATAATGGTTTATGGATGTATATAAAGTAACTTTATTTCGATGGATTAGATGGATACCTTTTCAATAAAAAACATTTTAAAAAAGAAAGGAGAAGGACATAACTGAGCAAAGGATGGATGTAGAGCAATGCAGTTACAGGTCAATAAAAGGTAGCTAGGCTTGGGCGGTTTCGTTAGTTAATTTCGTAATTCGTTATTAATTCGTATTTAAATTAGCTTACGATCCAATATTGAGCCATGCAGGACTACTGTGAGGAGTAATTAAAAATTGAAACAATTTTTCCAATTTATTTCGTATTGTTTCGTAATTGTTTCGTAATTGGTTCAAAATTGTTTCGAAATTGTTTCGTAATTGTTTCGTAATTATTTCCGTATGTCTGGTGCAAGTTTCATAGTTGTTGTTTGTTTTATCAGTGATAAAAAATAAATTATCACACCAACAGTCAACAACAGAGGGAGAGGGAAGCTTCAGAAGTTCCCCCTGTCCCATTTGGAGGGTTTTTTAGCATATTGCGCAATCGCGTCCGCCATTAACGAATCGATTTGTAATTTTACAAAATTTCGTATATTTTTAACTTTTTAAAAGGAAAATTTCAGAATTCTTTAAAAATACGAAACGCAAGGGCCCCCCTAAAAACGAAACGAGTTTAGAACCAAATTTTTCCGTGGTTACCCAGGCCTAGTAGCTACAACTGAGAAAGAGGATTAACTGGTTTAATTTAAGACAGTGGAATAAAGGTTTTCAGAGGGTTTGGAAGGTAACGAAGAGGGTAGCACTGCAGATACATCCCAGGATTTACAAGAATAATAGCTAGGGACACCAAAGAGGGATGGGCAGGCTTTTGGAAAGGCTTACAATGTTATTTTCCCCTCATTATGGCACAGAAGCTTTCCAGATTTCAGCAGATGGGTGAAATGAAAAGATATTTAGGTATATATCAATGAATTATTGGAAGCGAATTGCTTTTTCAGTGTGAAAGATCTTAAACAATGCATTTATTTTCTAATGTAAAGAAAATACACAGAGATCCATATGAAGCTAACCTCAACAATGACAAAACCGTTATTTACTATATATCTTCCAAATTTTCCATACTATTCAACTCAGTCCAGCCCTATTGTACAAGTATTTCTCAGAATGTAAGGTTAGAGATATGAAGGATGAGATTCAAATCTCTTCCAAGATCCACTATGTTCAAAGGGACTAAAAGCCAAGTATCTCTTACAGGATAGCAATTATGAACAGCTCAATCCAGCACCTAATGAATGCATGACAACCATCGTTGTCTTTTTGGGTGGAGAAGAGCACTGGCACATGGCATCAGATTATAAAGAATTCCCAAACTAAACCTTTTTTTTTTTTTTTACTATTATTTCCGTAATTGTTCTGGGCTAGTAGGTTATGGGAGTAGTGAGACAAAAGCAAATTTTCACAAGTTTTTCATGTGTGTATAGAAACATAATACAGAGACATTACTGATGAGGTGTACCAAAATGGTTACAATATTTTCTGTTGAAAAAAAGTCTTGAAAATTAATTCAAAATATCTCCATTACTTAAAAAATTACAAAATCTGAAATAGAAACTATTCGTACATCTACCTTGTAGAGTGAAAGCAGCTTGGCACAACTTTAGTTGTCATGGCTCAATGTTACAGAATTATTAGGGCTGCAGTTTTACAAGGACTTTCTGTCCAAGAGTGCTGGTGCTTCACCAAATTACAATTCCCATTGAGCCATAGATATGACAGGGCTGTCAAATTGCATTGATTCTATAATGAAGATGCACCCTAAGACCATTTGATATACAGTGGTCCCCTGGATATGCAATTAATCGATCATGGATCGTCATGACCCATGTTTATTAAATGGTGGTGATGTGAACAAATATATGCTGAAATGTCACTTAATAATATGGGGTGTGAACATATCACACAAAACAAAGAGCATGATATGGAAGAATTCTAGGAATCTCAATGGAATTCTGAGAATTGTTTTCCCGCAAAGCAACTTTTCTGAATTCCAGCATAAAACATTGTCAAATGTATTGTGCAGTCGAATGCTGGAGAGATGCATTTTTCTGTTTTCAGATTTTGATCAGGGCAGAGGTTTTTCAAGTTAGAACAAAGTATATATACTTAGATTTACACAGAATAAGCTAAATTACTGATAGTATCCCTTTACTTATTAGTCACTGTTCTTTGTCTTCCAGCTGAAAAATATGAGGCTGACATATGTCAAGAAGAACATCACTGAAATATAATGTTGTGCAGCTTTTGCCTCCTTCCTCATTCCTGTGTTTTTGAAAATTATCCTGCATACCTTTTGGAAAAATTGTAGAGTTTTCTTCAAAACTACTTTTCTTGCAAACCTCATGGGGTTTTTGGGGTGTGGGAATGGGAAAGGGGAAGAGAAAAAAATCCTACAATTTTCAGGCAAAAAAATCAACATGTAATTTTGTGTTGGATACCTTCCTGAAACACCTCAAAGTACATAAGCGTGGGTAAAAATTACATAGACTTTTTTTCTCTTGCAGCAGAGAGAAAACAACAATAACTGTTTGTATTCATATGTAAGGAAGACATAGTCAAAGATGTTTATCTGTGTAACTGATTGGATCTCACTAACTTGCTTGCAAAGGTATCAACTCAGGGGCCTTCCACACAGCCCTATATCCCAGAATATCAAGGCAGAAAATCCTACAATATCTGCTTTGAACGGGGTTGTTTGAGTCCACACTCAGATAATGTGGGATTTTCTGCCTTGATATTCTGAGCTATAGAGCTGTGTGGAAGGGCCCATAGTCTCAGTGAGCTAGGCACCTGACACATCAAATTGACTCAGAAATTCACTAAGATTCCTGGAAAATTCAATACTTGCCCTTAAATTGGCAGTGGAGGCAGCACCAACAGTTAAGATACTTGGGAAGTAGAGGGACATTAATATTCTTTCCTTTTTACCTACCATGTCATTGTGCTAACAGCATATCAAAACAAAAGAGGGCTGATGAAATTACGGGGAGAATTACGAAGTCAACAAAAAGAAATGCTGTTCCAAAATTGAGGAATGCATAAACACAATGCAAAAATTGTGCAAAGATCTAATCCTGGCAGTTCCAACACTCTCTTCACTCATGCCAGAAGAAACAGGCAAACAACATTAAAGTTCAGTATTCATTTTAGTATTTGCAAGTTTTCTATATCTGTAAAAACAAAAATGCATGGTTACTTGTAAAATCTCATTTTAAATCTTAAAGAAAAAGAACAGCAACTCAAGCCTTGCTGTATTTTCCAGATTCTTACCAATGAATCAGGAAACTCCAGTATTCTTCATTAAATCCTCCATCTACCCCTGGTCTTCAGACTCATGTACAGACATTCAATGTGATTCAGTTCCCTAATAGGTAACCTGATCAGGTTAAGATGCTTTTACAGCTCTTCTGCTGCAATAGCAAATATCCTGGTGGAAGTGCCTGATCTCAAGCTGAACCATTATTATCTCCCTAGCCAACTTTCTGTAAAGCATGCCAGGACAGCCTCCTCATCCATGACCTAGAACTTCAGTTGGGCATAACAGAAATGAAGTTTAGGCCTTCAAAGAAAGAGGGCAGGGAACATTATCAAGGGAATGTGAACACAGCAAATGTAAGGGCTATATGTGTGATTGGATTTCAAGGTTTCATTCTGTGCTATACTGGACTGAAGGCAAATTTCATTGGGGACAGAGTTTTTCTTTGGGGGAAATGTCCTTACTTAAGACCAAATCCACAGCCGCAGCACTGCAGTCACTAAAATACAACTCCAATCTGGGAAATGGAACCTGGACTTGAACCTGGAGTTCACATAGGG